CGCCCCCCCTTCCCTCGCGTTGCCACGCGAAGGGTGCCGTGCAACTGTGTAATTTCCGCCCCCTTGCCTTGTCATTTCGCCTCCCCCCCAGCTGCTGCCACATGGCGGACGGAGTCGCGGGCGGAGTCGACGATCGACGTTTTCCGAAGGGCGTCAAACAGAGCCTACAACTCCCTAGTATTCTCACACGTGTTCCACGCATGAGGATTCAGTTTGGGATCCTTAGGAATATCGGAGGGATGAGGGTTTTTGTTGCGGCCAACGCATGGGCCGCGAAGAAGGGGGAGGAAGGGGGAAAAGGGGGGGGCTCGGGCTGGGGAGGTCCAGAGGGAGAGGGGTGAGGGAGGTTGGAGCCGACCTGATATTCCCCGAAGTTCGACGCCAGGGGGTGGGGGGGCGTTGCTGGAGGAGCGGTGGGGGGGGGGGAAAGCGAAGAGAGGGAACGGACGAGGGGGAGGGGGCTCGCGTGGCGGTTGCTCCCCTGCGTTGCCGGGTGCCTGGTAGAGCAGGGTGTCAGTTGTTTCCGTCCCCTTGCGCTGCCAAGTCACGAGGGGGGTCGGATCAGATCGTTTCCGTCCCTTGCGATGCCGCGCGTTCAGTTGAATATAATAGCGTTCGTCAGCCACCTTCCTGCCGAGGCGTTGCCAGGTGGCGGATGGAGCGTGATGTTATGTTGTTATCTGCCGCCTTGCGTTCCACGCGGCGAGCAGAACATGCTGGTATTCGTGTTGCCCCCAGGCGTGGCCAAATGACGAGTAAAGCACCGTGCGATTCGTTTGCGCCTTAATTCGTGGGCGCGTCACGAGCACAGTATAGTGGTATTTTCCGCTGCCTTGAATTACCGCGTTCCGAATATCCCAGAGGCTTGCGCCTATCCGCCGACCCCAGAAGAAGCGAGAAGTCCGAGTGAGGCCGTTGGGGGCCTTTTGGACACCGTTTGGGGGCCTCTGGGGGCGTATTTGGGATTTCTTGAGGGCCTTCTTGGGCCTTCAGGGGGGTTGGGGGGCGCCTGCTGATGGTCTCAGTGACTTTCCTGGGTCGGAGGGCTCGAAATATTGGGTTGGGTTGCCCCTCTTGGGCCTCTCTTGGGGCCCTGTTGGGGCCATCTTGGGCCGCCATGTGGCCCTCCTGGGCCGTCTTGGGGCTCTCTCAGGGGCTTCTTGGGTTGCCTTGGAGCAGTCTTGGGGGCTGCTTGGGCCGTCTTGGACGCTGTTTAGACAAAAGGACCGAATATGCTGAAATGGCATGCTTTCCTGAGGGAAATTGTAGACGCTTCGCGTAACCCCACCAGCCCATCCAGAAACGATGCCCAGAGGAATTGCCTCGATCAGGGAAGTGGACAGCACACACAGGAAGGGTTCCCCAGTGGAGGCCTCTTGGAGCGTCTTGGGTGCCTCGGAGAGCGTCTCTTGGGAGCATCTTGGAGGCCTCTTGGGCGCCTGTTGGGGCCTCCCGGGCGCCTCTTGGGGCCCTCCTGAAGCGCTCTTGGGAGCCTTGGGAGCGCTCTTGGGGCCATCTTGGAGGACATCGATCAAACAAGCAGCGAGCATTAGTTAGCGTTGCCCCTCGGGAGCCCAACGCATCGCCTCTTGCGGCGCCCTAGGGGCGCTCGTGGAGCGCTCTTAGGCTCTCTTGGGGCCGTCTTGGGGCTCTCTTGAGCCTCTCCTGGAGCCCTCTTGGGCTATCTTGGAGCCATCTTGAGGCCTCGGATGGCCATTGGAAGCGAATAGGCGAGACAGCCAAACACATATATGTTCCTAAGGTTGTGGCCTCTTCGGGGCCTCCTGGGGGAGCTCTGTGGCCACTGGGAGCCGCCTTGGAGCGGTCTTGGGCATCTTGGAGTATCGTGGGAGCCATTATGAGACATCTTGGGATATTTTGAACCATCTTGGAGTCATCTTGGGCTCTCCCAGGCGCGCTTGGAGTCATCTTAATCAGTGCCCCCCCAATAGGCCAATGTGTGGATAAAACCTTAGTAAACTCAATGCTTTGGTATCATCGCCGAGGCCTCTTGGAGCATCTTGGGTGTCTTTGGGGTGTCTTTGGGGGCCTCTTGGGGGTTTCTTGGGAGCCTCTTGTGGGCATCCTGGGGGCCTCTTGGGGCTTCCTGGCCACCTCTTGGGGCCCTCTTGGGGCACCCTTGGGAGCCTTGGGGGCCATCTTTGGGCCATCTTGGGTGAGACCGATCGGAGGAGGGGGGTGTCTAATTAGAGCCCCCCCCTCAGGAGGCCAAAATGGGGCCAACACCATAGTACAACCAATGATTGTTGCTTCCTCGCCGAGGCCGTTTTGGACGCTCCGACACCTCGCGGAACCCCTTTGTCCAGGTCCAGGGGAGGGGGTACAGGGAGGGGTAAACCCCTCCCCGAAGGGGAAGAAGGAGGGGTGGAAGAGGAAACTTCCTAAACCACCGACGCCACGAGGGCTGGTGGGATTTGCGTGTTTTTGCTGTTGGGGGTCGTTGCCAAGAATTTCATTCGCGTTTTCACCCCAGGCAGGCGGGGGTCGGCGGTGAATCGAATCTGTCGGTTCTTCCATTGGGCGTTGCCATATGATGGGCAGGATCGACGGTCTATGACTTTCGCAGGGCTCCGAACCGACCCGACGGATTCCGAGAGTTCATGGGTTCTTGATGATGCTTTTTGGGGCTCGCTGGGGGTCCTGAGGCTTGGGGTTCGCATGGCGTCTGAGGGCTCAGTGTCAGAAGTGGGGAGGCAGGGGGGGGGGGGGGGGGCGAGTCCACAGGGAGAGGCGTGGGGGAGTTTGTAGCCACTCTTTCGATTCCCCGCTTTCTTAGAGCGTCAGGACCGCTCAGATTTCCAGAACACGACGGGGAGGAATTCGAAATAGCAAGGATGACGTTGATGGAGGAGCGAGGCGGGACGTTCGCAGGGGTCTTGGTCGTCGTCGTCGTCGTCGTCCGCCTTCGTCGCTCCCCGCGCCGCTGATCTGCGTGCCCTAGGGCCGCCGAGGGGCTTCGGAGGGTTACCGACGACGTCGAAAACGACGACGTCGACGACGACGACGATGAAGACGACGGCCGACGACGTCGAGGACGACTACCGGCGACGTCAACCGCTGCCTGGGGGCGCGCTTCTGAGGTTCTGGCGGGAGCACTCCCTGGTTTCTGTGGGTCGTCGCGTATCGTTCCCGTGGGTCGTGCCTCCACTGTCCATGTTTCAGTGTCCAGGTTTCCCTGGGTCTTGCCTCGGGATTCTGGGGCTCGTGCCTGCCGTTTCCTTATCCGCCCCCAAGAGGAACGTAAGATGCCCCTAAGATGCCGAACCTGGGCCTTAGGGGTCCCCACGAGACCCAAAAGGGTTCAAACATGTCTCTCAGACACCCGCGACATGCATCCCAGAGTTCGATTTTGGTGCGCAGTTGGCACGCTGGAGCTAATCTGAGGTGTCACGGCTGCCCAGGCTCTGGCTTGTAGAATCATTGTTTCAGTTTCACCTTGGATGCCCATTCAAGAATGCTTCGAATACGTCTGAGACCGCAATTCACACCTTTCTGGTTACAATCACACAGTCTCGACAAGGGCAAGGATCAGCAGTCCAAGGAGTAGAAGTTCGACGCTGAGACGGCTGAGGAGGAGGATTCGAAGGAGGACGCCCACCCAGGTCGTCGTCCAAGCATGTGCCGTCACGATTACCTGGGGGGGCCACGGCTGCCCCTCGCTGTCTCCTAGGTCCTAGGACCTAGGACCGGGTCAATGAGGCCCTAGGACAGCCCAAGTGGGCCCCGAGACGGTTCGAGAGGCCCCCAAGAGAGCCCAAAAACGCACCATGAGTTGCCCCAGAGTGGCCCCAAAGAGGCCAGGACCACCAGCTGGCTTCCAATACTGCTGGCTGCTCAATGCCTTCCCGTCATTGCGGCCGTCGTCCGGCAGCGTCGTCGCGCGCATGCAGCGCAGCAGGTCCAGGATCCAGCTGGAGCGAGCTATCGGCGGAGGCCCCCTCGGGCTCGAGGAGTGTCGCGTGTCCGGCCTCGGTCGGAGCGGGGCAGCGCGGCGCACGCAGGCCGACGGGGGGGCTTGCAGCATAGCGCCCCCGGCATCGGAGCCGCTGGCGAAGGGCCACAGGAAGGCGTCGGGTTCCCGTTGGATGTGGCGGGCGAGTGCACAAAGTGCCGCGGACGACGAGTCGTAGGAGGAAGGAGAGGAGGATGAGGAGGAGCAGGAACGCGACGAAGAGGGCGTTGGTGACCCAGGGGCAGAGGACGCGGGAATTGCAGACGGAGCGTTGGCGTCACGAGGGCCCCGAGGCCTATTAGAGACTGGTCCATGCGGCACTGGCCTGCCCCCGCTTCGAGCGACACGTGGCCCGCTTATGGTCAGGAATTTTGGCTTAGCGCGTCGTGCCGCCAGCTCTGGCCCACCAAACGTCGGTGTGACACACTATCCACGTCCCAGTCCCCGAGCGTCAGCATCCCGAGCTGTTCGAAGCCTCCCGTACCGCTGAGCGGAGCAACACGCTATCCGCTTGAAAGGCACAGCGTGTCGCAAGGCCGCCGCCGCGACACGCTAAGCAATAGTTCCCGACCGTACAGTTCTTGGTAAGAAAGGTGGTGGGCGCAGTCCTCGAAGAGACACGTCACGGAGGAGGACGACGAGGAGGACGGCGAACCTTGGGATCCGACGTCTCGAAAAAGTTGCAACATCGCGAAACATCACGACCAGTGCCCCAGACCCCATCTGTCTGTATGATTATCCGAAACTGGCGAATACGCCCGTTGTAAAACATGCGCCATTCCCAGAATCCAATGGTTTCAATACAGGGTCCTCGGAAGTCCCGAGCCTTTTCCCAGGAGCGGTTTCTGTGCCGAATGGTCCCGGGGCCGTGCAAGTGCCCCCGGAGTCCGAAAATTGAGAAAATCAAGTGTCTCGATGTTCTTCACATCTTGGATGTCTGGGAAGGAAGACGGCGAAGAGGACAAGGAGCTCGGGGGGGTGCCGGGGCGGGCTGCCTGCCCCCGCGTGGCGCGCGCTCCCGCAAGAGGAGCGGGCGCGGGCAGAGGCCCGGCGGCGGGACCAGGAGTCCAGGCAGCGCGAGCGCGAGCGGCAGGACTTGGGCCGCCCCAAAGGGGGCCCAGAAGTAGACACTCACCGCCTCCCTCATCCCCTCCCTCATCCCCTGCCTCTCCCAGGAGAGAGGGGGGGAAGAAGAGGGTGGAGGAGGGAGGGGGAATGGTGGTGGTGGTGGTGGTGGTGGTGGTGGTGGTGGTGGTGGTGGTGGTGGTGGTGGTGGTGGTGCACCGAAGACGCCTACGACGAATCACCGCCGCCCCCTGCCTTTTGGAATCGCCCATGTGGCCGAGCGTTGTGGCAAGAGTTCTGCCAAGCTATCGGACCATGCATTCCCCTAGCCGTTGTGGAAACTCTTCGGGGAACACTTGGGGGAGGATGGCGGGGAAGATCAGGAGGAGGAGGAGGAGGAGGAGGAGGAGGAGGAGGAGGAGGAGGAGGAGGAGGAGGTGGCATCTTGGGAGCCTCTGGGGGCACTCTTGGGAGCCTCCTCGGGCCTCTTGGGCCGCCTTTTGGGGCTTCTCGGGGGCCTCTTTGGCTGTCCCATGGCATTCCTGGCCCGTCTGACGCCGTCGTCGGACCTCTCTGGGCCGACTTGGGGCCTTCTTGGGGTGCTCCAAGGCCGTCATGGAGGCCTCTTGGGCCGTCTTGAGTCCCCTTGGGGCCGTCCAGGGGGCCTCTTGGCCGTGATGGGGCCATCTTGGAGGCCTCTTGGGCGATCTTGGGGCCTCTTGGGCCGTCTTGAGCAGTCGGAAGGCCGAAACGATGCAGATGCAAACATCTTGTTAAAACCAAGAAGGACAATCCATGATGTTGGCATCTTCGGGCCTTCCTGGAGGACCATCGTGGGCGAGCTTGGAGGCCATCTTTGCCATCTTGGAGGCGATTTGGGCAACCACCCACCCCTGTGACAAGCACAGGGGGCGGCGGATGACGGAAAGCGCGCGTAGCATCGCGACCCGTTAGCCGGGAGAAATAACAAGGGGGCGGGGGGAAGGGTAGGCAAAACAGGCGCGGATGACGGCAAGCGCGCGTAGCGTCGCGATCCGTTAGTCGGGAGAAATAACAGGGGGGTGGGGGGGTAGGCAGCCCAGACCTCAGAGATCGAATACCCCAACGTTTCATTTTTGTGGCCCACGACGACCCAAGTCAGCCCCAAGACCGCCCAAGAGGCCTCCAAGTCGGGCCAAAGGGCCCCAAGACACTTCAAAGACGGCGTCGGAGAGGGCCCGAAGCGGCCCAAGAGCGCTCAAAGAGGGCCTAACATGCTTTCAAGACAGCCGCAAAGGCCCCAAGACGCCTCAGGAGGCCCCCGACAAGGACCCCAAAGAGGCACACACCGTCCCATTCCCTTAGGACAGCGCGCATGTTTAGCAGATTCACTTCTTTGGTCTTCACAACGTCCACAACGATTCAGGAAGCCCCCAAGACCGCCCATGACGGCACCCAAGACGGCCCAAGTCGGCGTCAAGACGGCCCAGGAGAGCCCGAAGACGGCCCAAGAGAGGCCCTTGAGGGCCCCAGAAGGTTCCCAAGAGAGCCCCAAGCGGGGCACAGGAGGTCCCCAAGGGGACCCAGGAAGGCCCCCAGAGGGCCCCAAGACCGTCCAAGCCCGCCAAGACGGCCCAAAAGGGCCACAAGACGGCCCACCCAAAAGGACCACCAGGAAGTCCCGGAAATGCAATATTCACAGATTTTCGCAAGGCCCGTGCCTAGATTTCTGCATGTCGCATCGAAGCCTTAACACCAACAGGGCTCCAAGACACTAAGCCAGCGACTTCGCGCCCTCACAAAATAATCGCGCTTTCCGTACCCATGCTGGGCAGGTAACGGGGAGAACGAGGTACGAGTGATGAAGCGGCTCAAGGGCCCCAAAGAGAGCCTCAGATGGCCTCCAGACGGTCTGCGAGAGCCTCACAACGATTCCAGGGGCCTTCCAGAGGGCCCTCGAGAGGCCGTCGAGAGGGCCTCAGGCGGTTAAAAACAACAAATTTCCAATGGTTATTTGAAGTGTTTTCGTGTTCTCGCCTTTTCGGGCCAAGAAGGGCCCAAGAGGCCCCAGAGATCGTCCCCAGACCCAGAGGCACCCACAGGGACCGAAAACAGTTCAAGAGGGCCCCCCCAGACGGCCCAAGATGGGCCCCCAGACGCCCCCAAGAGGGCCTCAAGACAAGAGGGCCCCAAGACGGCCCAAGAGAGCCCCAAGAGAGCTTCACGAGTGCCCCAAGAGGCTCCCAAGAGAGCCTGAAGAGGCGGTGTGGGGACTGGGCTGCTTGTGTGTGGGGTCTGGGCTGGCCCCAAGAGCGCCCCAAGACGGCCCAAGAGAGCCCCAAGAGAGCCCCAAGAGGGCCCAAAGAGGGCCCAAGAGGCTCCCAAGAGGACCCGCAGAGGCGGTGCGGGGACTGGGCTGCTTGGGTGTGGGGTCTCGACTGGCCCCGGGAAAGCCCCAGAGTCCCAAAACGGTCTTTCAGAGAGAGGGCCCCCAGGAGACTCCCGAGAAGCCCCAGAGATGCCAAGTACCACCGTGGCTCCCAACGGCAAACAGTGACGTAAGAAGTTGTAAGAGCGCGGTGACATAGAGAAGGGTTCTGAACAGCAAGCCGCCCAAGATAAGAGCGAGCGGCAACGTAGAAGTCTCTGAGCACCAGGGCTCCCAACAGAGAGCGGTGACGCAACAAGCTCTTAACGCCAAGGCTCCCCAGAGCGAAGGGTGCCATGAGCCATCTCAGGCCAGTTCCTGCGGCGCTCGTTCCCTTCCCATGCTGGCCCAGGTAACGGAGAGAGCGAGGTACGAGTGATGTTGTTTTTGTGAGGGGCGAAGCCCTTCAGGGAGGGGTGTGATGGTTGTAATGACCTCCTGGGGATCCCTCGCATTTTTCCCCAACCATCCTGTGGTGTTGGGTCCTCGTTTTGAAAAGACAGCGCCCCGCATCTCCTCTCCTCTCCTCTCCTCTCCTCTCCTCCCCCTCCTCCCTCCTCCCCCTCCTTGCCTCTGCCCTCCGCATGTTTCCGCTTCGGCTTACCCAATACAGCGCTTCGTGGCCCCTACAGGGAGCTCCACCGACGGCCCCATGGGCAGTGGCAGGGTTCGCATGCAGTTCCACCTTCATTTCGGCGCACCCCTCACGGGTCGTGGCCCGTAGGGGGTTCCACCGAAGGCTCTAGCGGCAGGGTTCGCATGCAGTTCCCCTTTCACTTCGGCGCACCATTCACACGGTTCGTGGCACCATAGGGGGCTCCACCGAAGGCCCCATGGGCAGGGTTCGCATGCAGTTCCACCCTCATGTCGGCATACACCTCACACGGTTCGTGGCCACATAGGGAGCTCCACCAAAGGCCTCAGTGGCAGTGTTCGCATGCAGTTCCACCCTCATTTCAGCGCACCCCTCACACGGGTCGTGGCCCCATATGAGAGTTCCATCGAATGTCTCAGTGGCAGGGTCCGCACGCAGTTCCACCGTCATTTGGCACACCCCTCACACGGTTTGTGGCCCCATAGGGGGCTCCACCGAAGGCCCCATGGGCAGGGTTCGCATGCGGTTCCACCGTGATTTCGGCGCACCCCTCACACGGGAGCTCTACCGGAGGCCCCATTGGCAGGGTTCGCATGCAGTTCTGCCCTCATCTCGGCACACCCCTCGTACGGTTCGTGGCCCCATTGGAAGCTCCACCGAATGCTTCAGTAGCAGGGTTCGCATGCAGTTCCATTTTCATTCCGGCGCACCACACGGTCCGTGGCCCCATAAGGGGCTCCACCGAAGGCCTCAGTGGCAAGGTTTGCATGGCGGCCCCGTCCCATTTCGGCACACCCCTCACACGTTTCGTGGCCCCATAGGGAGCTCCACCAAAGGCCTCAGTGGCAAAGTTCGCATGCGGCTCCACCATCATTCTGGCGCTCCCATCACACGGTCCGTGGCCCCATAGGGAGTTCCACCGAAGGCTTCAGTGGCAGGGTTCGCATGCAGTTCCACCCTCATTTCGGCACACCCCTCACACGGTTCGTGGCCCCATATGGGGGCTCCACCGAAGGCCTCAGAGGCAGGGTTCGCATGGCGGCCCCGCCTAATTTCGGCACACACTCCGCACGCTTCGTGGCCCTGTAGGGAGCTCCACTGCAGGCCTCAGCGGCAGGGTCGCATGGCAGCGTCGCCTCCATTTCGGCACACCCCTCACACGCCTCGGGGCCCCATAGAAAGCTCCACCGAAGGCCCCAGTGGCAGGGTTCCACCGTCATTTCGGCGCACCATTCATACGGTTCATGGCACCATAGGGAGCTCCACCGAAGGCTCCAGCGGCAGGGTTCGCATGCAGTTCCGCTCCCATGTCGGTGCCCCTCTCACACGGCTGACTCGTGGCCCCATAGGGAGCTGCACCGAAGGCCCCATGGACAGGGTTCGCATGCTTTTCCACCTTCATCTCGGCGCACCCCTCACACGGTTTGTGGCTCCAGTGGGAGCTGCACCGAAGGCCCCATGGACAGGGTTCGCATGCTTTTCCACCTTCATCTCGGCGCACCCCTCACACGGTTTGTGGCTCCATAGGGAGCTCCACCGAAGGCCTCAGTGGCAGGGTTCGCATGAGGTTCCACCTTCATTTCGGTGCACCCTTCACACGGTTCGTGGCCCCATAGGGAGCTCCACCGAAGGCTCCAGTGGCAAAGTTCGCATGCAGTTCCCCGCCCCATTTCGGCCACACCTCAAGCGTTTCGTGGCCCCAAAGGGGGCTCCACCGAAGGCCTCAGTGGCAAGGTTCGCATGCAGTTCCCCGCCCCATTTCGGCAACACCTCACGCGTTTCGTGGCCCCAAAGGGGGCTCCACCGAAGGCCTCAGTGGCAAGGTTCGCATGGCGGCCCCGCCCCATTTCGGCACACCCCTCACACGGTTCGTGGGCCCATAGGGAGCTCCACCGAAGGACTCAGTGGCAAGGTTCGCATGCGGTTCCACCATCATTTCGGCGCACCCCTCACACAGTTCGTGGCCCCATAGGGAGCTCCACCGAAGGCCTCAGTGGCAAAGTTCGCATGCGGCTCCACCCTCATT